ATTCTTTATTTCGTAGATAAGTATATTTAGAAAAGAGTATAATTTATTACGTAGAAACTATTCAGAAGGGATCTTGATAAATCCATAATAAAACTCTTTAATATATCACTAACTTTTATAAAATCCATACTTAAATAATCTCTGATACTTACAACCACAACCGGTGTAACTTAAATTATGTCACGTTTCACAGTATACTTTATTATACTTTAGTGTCAGAAAACAAGTTACTCACTTTACGTAATTGTTTATGATGGATGATAGAGCATCTTAAGCATACTGATTTAGAAGAAATGTCTTGCCAAAATACTGGGTCACCAGTGAAAATGTTACCTTTCTGCTTTATTCTTTAGTTTTAAATGAATCTTTTTTTCCAGAAAGTGATCTTTATTATTACAAAAATTACAAAACTTCAAAGTATGTAGTTAGTAGCGCCTGTCGCTGCTTTTGGCTAGAATAATTCCCTCGATTCGATGTGTCTTTGAATGAAACAAGGTTGGGATTTCTTTCCCATTCCTCTTGGCATTAATCCCAAATTACTTTTCATTGTTTTGTGAACATTAATAATTAAGTTTAACTCAAGACTTCAGTGTTAAATAAAACAGCACTTATTTACAAAGACAAATAAATACTTAACAAGAACAAAGAAATAAAAGTCAACCAAAGATAATTAACCATTCATGAATACATTTTAGTAGCGCGGCTTGACTTAATATCCGATAAATACTAAATCAAAATCAAAATCATCGGCACAATAATTCACACTAATTCGACTGGACTGTTCCACTCAATAGTCCCTCAATAATCACTGCAGTCAGTAGCTTGACACCGCTATTTATACACCAGGGGTAGAACATATTCATAAGTCCAGTGTGTTACGCTCGAACTTTGGTGTCGGTACTTACTCATTTTCTTCCTATGTGATACATTGGGGCATTAGGTTCTTCAATATCCACCGCGATTACTCAATTATATTGATATTCGGAATTGTGACGGACATTATTCTAATAGTTGAACACCTTCATCCAAAAGAAACATTTGTTTCGCATGCGATGTATGTCAAGGAGCATCGTCATGCTGAAAAATAGCTTCATTTTCATTGTCTGGCAGAAGGAATCTAGTTTTCACTGTTTCCATCAATTCTAAACAATTTCCTTCTTTTTAATGCAACCACACATTTTTACGTTTCCAGTATCAAATTTTATTGCATTTGCGGCGTATTTGCATTGTTTCTGTTTTTTTCTCCTCGTTTTCTTAGATATTCTCTTGGATTAGAATGCAATTATATTTTGAATTCATCACTAAAACTTACTTTTTACACTTTCCAGCATCCTATGCTAGACGTTCTTTTGACCAGTTCAATCTTCTAATGTGTTTGGTTAATGATAACTTTCCGCTGTTATACGTACGTCCAGGTTCTTTGTCGTAATACTCTGCGTATAGTGTCACCTGAATCCTCACTGTTATGAATGCGTTGACTCTTCATTTGAATGGCTTGTATTATTTGATTCCTTAACGAGACACTCAATCTTTCGTTTGGCTATCTAATTTTTGTGTCTTACAGTTTACTTTTGAACATAATGTTTTTTTTTCAAAAAATCTTTTTGGTCGTTCGAATCCTGTTTCTGGAAACTGCCAGCCGCCGAGTCATATTCCCTTTGATATCACAACATTTGACCTTCTTTCAGCAGAAGTTTTAGCCATGAATTAAATGTATAAAAACAAGCTAATGTTAAACTACAATGATATGCCAAGGCAACTCACACACATAATGATAGAATAAATCCTACTGTGGCACCATTTACCAAGGCAAAAAGACAAGAAAGGAAAGAGAGGAAGGAAAGAAAGGAAAAGAGAGGCGAGACCCAAACGTGGATGATAAGTAGGACACCCACGACTAAGAGACAATGGATAAAGGATATTTTGATAAGTAACAAATGGCGAAGAGTGTCATTACAATGGCAGGGAAATTCTGAGTGGATAAGGGAATCGTTGTGTTCTGGCGACGAGCTGTGTTATCGGGGATACATAAACAAACCGCTAATGCGAGAAAACATCTTATTAAGCAAACCGACTAGCCAAAGAAAAATCCAATTGAAAATGTTATTTTGATAACTTTGATAATTGACAAAAAACAGTTTAACTACAGGGCTTTGGATAGATATGAAAAATTAATTGTGTCAAAGCCGCACACGAGGTGGCGACTGACCGTTTTTCTTTTGACAAGACATCTTTAGCTGTGATAATAAAACTATGTTATCAGTAATGTTCACCAAAGAGTGACTGGAAACCTAGAAATGTTTCTTTTCGAGGCGACGGTGTGGCCGTGTTAAATAGACCACCCATTCTGATAATTAGCGATAATCTGACTGACGATGTCCAGATGAGACCGGGGTAAAGATTTAGCGAGATATATTTTTTTTTCCTGAAACAAAGCCCGCGGGATCGTACACGCCGGCTGGACATCATTGGCCGAGTGGTGATCACGTGACGCAAGGAGGGAGCTGTCATCGCCCATTTAGAGGATGAGTATGAGAGGTCGCTACGAGGAAGTGGGGAGGACAGCTGACACCCCCCTGAAGCATGGTGAGAAGGTGGGAGCAAGAGAAAACTCCCCCAAAAAATAGAAAGTGGAAAATTCCTAACCAAAAATAAAAGAAGTGGATAGGTATTTAGAATTATCGAGGAACCCCCCCGGCGCCGACAAACCCACCCCTGTTTTTGTCGGCGTCCATATAAGCGAAGTCGCAGCGAGCAAAAAATCAGTTCCAGCAGAGAGTTCCAGCAGACAGTTCCAGCAGACAGTTCCAGCAGAGAGTTCCAGAGTTGAGTTCGGGAGAGACAGTTCCCAGAGTCAGTCTCCAGTGCTCAGTTGAAGCAAGCCTCGCATCGGCTGACCAAGATTCGCGCAATTTCCGGACTCATCTTCAATCCAAGAACAATTATTTTGAAGAGCGACTTAGATCCAGACCACCAAAATAAGTTTTTTCGACTTTCGCCCGAAGACACACGGAAAAACCAATTTCTTAAAGAGCAAACAACTTGAAGTGTTAAAACTCGCCTAACGGAAAACAACGTGTCACAATCCATAGAACGGGCCGGGAGATAGACGCAGTCCTATGTATCCAACAACTAGACATAAAGTCTGTTATCCTTTTTTTGATACCTTGAACTTTTGAGTTTTCATTTTATTTTATTTTATGCATATTTGTGTGATATCACCCCCGTTTGAACTCAATTTGCATTACGGCCCCAACTACTGATTGATTTCGCCTGCCTAAGATCAATTCACAACGTGGGTAGGCAGACTGGAGATCAACGCAGTTACTTTGGTAACCAGACGTTGGAAGCGAGTTGGGAACGACGAGGCTGATATCGAATCTAACCAGATTCCCATCCGAATCACCAAAAGGTTAGAACGTCACAGTTGGCGCCGCGACCAGGACCAAGCCAGTTGGTCGTCACAGGATGAGACAACACGACTGACGCGACAGGCGGACGTCACGTTTGGAGCGGCGACACTCGAACGAAGCAGCGAGGAGCGAGCGAAGGCTGTGTTTAGGGACGTCACACTACCTAGGAATTTGCATAATATAATAGGATCATCTCAATTCTTTCATTGGATCAAAAATTTTGCATAGTTTTTTTTTTCTACTTCAAACATCTCGAAATGATGTACCTTCTGTTATACGGCACTTACTAAAACACTATTTATTTTCAAATACTTAAGCTTATTGTTTGTTTAACAGCATATCAACAACTTATGAGTCATTTAATGTCGAAATTACTTTTCATGAGAGCATTAGTAATTTCGACTAACGTATTGCTGATAATTTTTATGTCACAAAAACATTATCTTGTAATTTTTCAAGATGTTTTACTGGTATTTTCTATGAAAATGTATTTTTTTACAATTATATAGTGTGTTTATAAAATTTTGGGGGTTAGATATTACCCTCATACTTGTTAGCCTAACAGGTACTAACACCACTTGTCAATGTGGGCATGGGACAACAGCAATTAAGAGGCTGTTCCACGTTCCTCAAATCCTCCCTGTCAGAGGCCTTGCTGCCTGGTGTAGTTTATCGTCATACTCAGGACGCAAAATCCTCAATGTCTACAGATACTACTGAGAAGAGCATATTACTAAAGAATCTTAATTTCTTAACGCAATAGATTTGTATAATCATTTTATGCAGTTGGCCCAAAGCCTTTGCACGCAAATGTATATGGTATGCCAGTTATTTAAGAAGTATTAAGTATAAACTAAGTTATTGTTATGCAAGTGTGAATTTTACAATTCTCAATTTATTTCTCGTATGTATCATGAGTATTGCTATGGAAACTATTGTGTGGACAAAGGCAATGAAGGCTGATCTACGCTCTCGGCATTATCTGCCAATATTCAGCGACTTCTTTAATAAGCTGAAGAGGAATAACGAATATAGCCGCGGTGATGTCAGTTATGTGCCATGTGTGATGTGCGCTTAGGTGATCATGTATCTTTCGATATATGAATGACGAGGGAGATTTCTCTCGCAGTAAGTTGACATTTCTTTCTGCGGTAGACCAGTTGGTATCCAAAGCTATAGAACCCGGTCTGTCTTGCTATTTACCCATAGCTGGAAGAAGAGGATTCATACCATTCACAAGGTTATTAGCACGTAAGTGAATGTAATGGATTCGACTGGAATTCGAACTCGACTCTCAGATTCCTCAATCTTGGTGATGAACAATCATTTAACGTCGTTTCTTGGTTTATTTTATTTTATTTATATTTTTTAGCGGCAAATCAAAACCTCTATGGGCTATTAAATATCGAAATTTAAATATTTTGTACGTATTTCTTTTCTTTTATTTTTTTAGAGACTTAATGATACAAGTGTTACTAATTAAACCATAGCTGTAGGAGAAGATGTGGATTCATACCTTTTCCAAGTCTATTTGCGAAGTAAATATAACGAATTCCACGTGAATTGGAATGTGTCCAAGCTTACAGAATTTGTTATTCACAATCGGTCACTCATCTAAGAACTGACCTGGCACGACGCTGCTTAACTTCGGTGATCATACACGAACCGGTGTTTCAACATGATGTGGCCGTAAGCCAACGTCGTTTAAGATGTCCACGTGAGTTATGAGCAATGAAGACTGACACATACTACTCCACATCTGCTTGCATGTCTTAGTATCACAGTCATTAACCATATCGATGGGCTTGGTGACGACACCCTGAAAGAAACAAATAGCTATACGTGCTAAAGTTTTGGTTCCCACAGGCTCCATAAGATCTGAATGACTTGACCTATTCTTGACCGAGAAGAAAAATATCACCAAAAACTTTTCTTGATTTTAATCACGTGATCAACTTCGACTGTTCTGATAGGAGATTTTTCTTCTCGGTCAAGCCATACAGATGGCACTAAAGACTTGGGTACGTATAGCTATTTTTTCTTTCAGGGCACCGTCTCCAAGCACATCGATGTAGTCGATATATATATATATATATATATATATATATATATATATTTATATTGGATATTTGTGAGTTTGTGACCCTGGGTTTCACGCTTTAGCGATCGTCAGACAAACTGATTAATGTTTTAAAAAATTGGGGTTTATGTAGATTGCGTGTATTGGTGTTATTGTGGCAGTGGTGGGGGAATTTCGTCGTTTTGTCATTCATCGTACTAAAAGACGATTGAGCGCTTTTTAATAAGTACCGCGCATATAATATATAAATAATTATACATATATATATTTATTTATATTTATATACACTTTTCATATATATATATATATATATATATATATATATATATATATATATATATGAATGTGAACATTGAAGTCAACACAGAGGCGACAGACTGTTTCATGCTAGACGCAATCGTCTGATGATTGCGTCTAGCATGAAAGAGACTCGCCTCTAATTGTTGACTTGAATGTTCACTTTTATATTCACAAACGCTTTATCTCTGATATTGAGCAATTTTATCCCATAAATATAGCAAACCTTAAGACAATATTTCTTCATATATATATATATATATATATATATATATATATATATATATATATATATATATAAAAGGCAACATGTCATTCTTGAGACCTGTATTAATGAAGAGTACAGAAATGTTTCGTTTATTAATTTTACTTTCGATTTTTTTTCTTGCTTTCTCACATATTTCTTTGTATTTGTTTCTAAGTCTTTAAAAAAGACCCCAGACTTTGGTTTGTTTCCATCAACCGTCAACATAGCTGTATGTTTTTGATTTGAAGTGGGTTGTTTTATTTCTACAGTTAATAGTTTAGAGCATTCAAGGCCGTATTGTTAGATTAGCAATTTCGGAGGAGGTTGGTATTTATTTTTGGGAGGATTAGTTACTATATATATTTAAGTTGTTTGTGTTAGTATTAAATCCTATTTTATTTATGTTGGGTTTTGGTTTTTAATTGTGATGGCTTCGAGAATTTGTCAGCGTTTTTTTGCAATTATTTATGATTTTGTTATTGTTGATTAGGATTTTTCTTATTTCGGAATATTCGATTCTTCTTGTTCGTGACGAGATCTTCATTGGAAAGACAGACTCTGCAATATTAATCACATATAAAGTGACGTATCCATAGATCAATGACTTTTCCTTTTCCTTTCTCAATTTTTATCTTTAAAAATGTAAATACAATATCAATCCTCATCTAATGTCTTTCTAATTCCTCTTCTTTTATTGTTGAGGCGCCTTAGTAAGGTTTTTTCTTGTTCTTATATTCTTTCACACTCAGTAACCCCTTGCAGCTTTCTGGCTTTATTGTTTTGCTTGGGATGAATGTATCTATGAATTCACTCCTAATTCCCATCTAATTGGTAATACCCTTACTCCAGCAAGTATATAAGTAATAACTTTTTGAAGAGCACACATGGAAATATATCAGAAACAATCATATGAGCTAAGTTTTATATATATATATATATATATATATATATATATATATATATATATATATATATATATATATATATATATATATATATATATATAAATATAAACCAAAGTTACATGCGGCCCACACGCATTTTCTCCTTCTCGTTATCTTAACAAATATGAAAGAATATAGTTAACTTTTCTCACCAAAAATCACACAAAAATCTTATATTCTCTAAATAGTTAGGTTAGGTTATTACAGGTAATCTATCATCAGTCTGGTGATTAGTAATCCCGGTTCAATAAGTAATTCCCACGAAAGTAATTTCAGATTTCCCATGTCGCCTCATGAGCCTGTTACTACAGTCAGTTGGCGCTATTTTTTAAATAATTTTAACTCAAAACATACCAAAGAGCCACTCAATGTAGAGGGTAAATGAGTGGGGTTGTATAGCGCAAAAAAGGACAATCGTTAGGTGAAGTAGACTTTAGAAGTAACCATAAACAATAAACAAGGGAAGAAAATCTATTTCTGTTCGATAGAATGGAGAGGAATGTGAATCGAACGATAGGAAAACCTATCCACGCCTGTTAACTACTCCATCGACTTTAACAAACAATTGTAAGGTATTCCTACTTATCTTTTTTACGTGCTTATGATAAACCACTGATGCTTTATACCAGTCATGGCTCCAATGAGAACAGGAAATACTTGTGGGAAGGGCAAAGACTATATATTGACCATAACAGAGAATGGAAAACTTCTAAAATGAATATGACCGTTTTTTTTTTCATTTATTAACCAACATGGTCTAATTTACAGGGTGAGATGAAGTGATTCGCTGTTGAGTTAAGTGTATATTAACAGAGTCATTAAATAGATAACGAGATCACTTATGACGCAATCTAGAGTCCCCAACCCCCGTGATGAGAAAATTAGTAATTTTCAACCTGTAATATAGGCTGTTCCAATAACTTGGACCGATTTTATATGTGAGTACAGTTTAATCGTGTAATGATTTTTTTTTTTTTCTTTCAGATTTAATAACTTAAGTCTTTGGCAATTTGAACTATGAAATGATTAACAACCAAACAACGTGTTAAAGTTATCGAAGCCTATTACGAAAATGGACGTCCGCTAACTTTAACACGTTGATTGATTGCCAAAGACTTAAGTTGTTAAATCTGAAAGAAAAAATAATTAAACGATTAAATTTAATTCCCATTTAAAATCCGTCCAAGTTATTGGAACACCCTTTATATATTAATATAATAAGGCATATACTTTGTCATCTGTCTATCGATATATCAAAATGCTTCTTTGTTTCAATGTTCAGTGTATTTTGTTCGAATCAGAGAAGTCTTCTATGAAAATATCAGCTGAGAGATCTAAAAATTCTAGCAATAATTCTCGACCTTCAGTTGAATTTGAATGATATTATTGCGATGTCATATCTGTGAAAAAGGCGCCATCATGCTTAACGCCATTTCTTTATCATTTCATTTGAACGCGGTCTGCCGGAGAACAAAATTAGAAGAAACTTCTGTTTTGAAAAAACGATAATTGACGCAGCAAGCTATGGCACCATTGCGGAGACAGTCGACAGAAAATATTTCAGATTGTTTTTATTTTCATTTTTCGAAAGAAAAAAAAAAACTGCCAATTCCAAAAGAATATTAGTGTCATAGCTCATGAGTTACTTTTTGTGAAATGTCGCGAAGAGTCATTTAACTGATTGGATTGAGGCAGGATATAACAAACATAAAATGTAGAAAATGTTCGCGGTCAAAAACAGTTACGGAAAAGAAAAATATAACGTCAGATCAACATCCAATAAAAAGATTTAATAACTGACATTTATTTTTGAGTATTTTTGTAAGAAATATAAAAAAATAAAGAGAGAAACTTTTGTAATGATTCTTCGTGTCTCTCTACCAGGTACTGTACTGTATTGTACTGATGCGGCATTCACCCTGGGCGGATTGAGCCGGCTTCTTCCTGTTATGAGAAGAAGATTCTTGGGATAAATTACAGAAGTAGGGTACCCAGGCCTACTCGGATAACGTTCTTGCTTGCCGCGGGATTCCCACAGACGCAGAGACAGGAACGACCAGAAGCCGCCGGTTACCGATGCAGACACTCCTTGGATTTTCTAATAAGCGTCTTCATAAGATAGACTATGAAGCCAATGTCCGTAAAATTCAATAAAAAATATTAGATTACTTAGAATATGTTTGTCAACTTTTAAGATTACTGGATAGATTAAAAATATATATAAAAAATACGTTAAAGTTATATTAGTCCAGTAATTCTTATAGTTATTTCACATTTAGAACAAATTCCCTATTTTAGCGAGAAAATTGTTAACACTTCATCAAAAGACTTACCGTCGTGGGGAAAAAAATTATGCAATATTTTAAAATGAAGTAATATTTGTTACAAATTAAAATTTAAATCAGCCATTCATCCTCAAATAAAGCATCAGGAGAATATATTTTATTTTTGAAAGATATTTAATAAAGCGTATTACGTTGTTTTCAATATGGGTGTTTAAGCATTTTTATAGATACAAGAAACTCATTCAAATAAATTTAAATTCATTCTGAAGTACAGTAAAGTATTATGGGAAATATTAAGTTTGATCTATTGGCGTGAAATTAAAATTAGAATAAAAGCCTCAAGAAAGATTTCTAATTGAAAAAATATGCTTTTTAAAACTTATGTATCGATTTTGTGGGGAGGTATAGGTATATATATATATATATTGTATATTTAGGCAGCAATTTTTCATTAATGCATGTTTTATTAAATAATATAGACAAGTTTTGTCTATTTATTTTAAGTAAGTTCCTTTCATATTGTCTTATAATCTTAATCACATTATCGTTGAAAGACGAAAGGAAAACACCATATTGATACATGTTTAAATCCAATCTAAGCTTTCGGCTTACACAAGCCATTATCAAAGATGACAATTTCAATAAATCAAAATACAAACTGTACATTTAAATGATAACTCTAACATTTTTAGACGTTTAAAACTACATGCCTGCCCGCGTACTCAATTCCGGAACAAAACTATACTTAAACATGAAAACTATAAACAAAAATTATAAATTCTTGAAGCTTTATACATAAAACAGTTGAAGACTAACCTGAACAAAAGAAACTATAAAAAC